TTTGAATTTAAATGTTTATGGTTTTGGTTGCATTTAAATATTTAGTATTTGCGAAATTAGAACTTGAATATTTAGAAATAATCAAACTAAAATATTTACGTTTTTGTTATCCTATTCGCTTTGCTTCGATAAAGCGCTCGCTACACTTCTCGCTTAGGCCTCAAGAGACCGGTTTGCTTCAGTTGATTTTACGCCTTAAATAACACTGGTCCAGAATACTGAATTGTCATAAGGATAACACTAAGTACAAGTCAAATTATCAATATGTTGCAGTGGCTTCTTAATGTCAAATCCATGGTTGTTAGTATCTTACAATACACGATTTAACATATACTATACGTTTTAATATAGGAGTAAAATGATACATTTTTATCTAAGTGTATTGTTTTACAATGTATCATACAATTCATGATATGTACTTATAGTCTCATACGATACTATTCAGTACACGATACACTTATAATTTCAAAAGGGAGAAACTAATAAAAAGAGGGAAAACAATAAATGTTCTCTTTAATTTTCATATATATTTTTTAGTTTGTTGACACTCATTCAATCATTTTAATATGTTATCTAACTTATGTTGTCTGGAGCCTATAAAAATTTTGTCAAGATTAAAATGTGGTTCATAGGAATATAAGAATGGATTGTTCTTTATGCGAATCTTTAAATTTTGGTGTTGATGAATTATGTTGTAAACGTGAGTCGTTCAATTTTGTTTTGAAACAGTGTCTTTTTAATCTTGTATGGAATTTAAGTTGGAATGTTATCCATATTTTTTTGGAACTATACAAATACGTTTTAAAAAAAAAATTAAGTGTATCTCATGATACATGATACGTCGCGATACACAATATACCATTTTAAGAAAATGATATGCACTACAATACATGCTATGACGACCCTAGTCAAATCCATCTTGGAATCCAAATTGGTGTAGTGTATCAATATCCAAAATCAAGGTCTTCCATAGCAAGTGGAAAAGATTCCCCATAGATTAGCTGACACAAACCGAGAATTTCGCACAGCTGGTTCCAATCTATCCCCCTTGGAGCAAGAGAGGGAGGGGAACATAATATCTGTGACTATTCCTTATTTGTTTGGAGACATGCTAAATAGCCATAATAGCTCCCTTATATTCAACACCATCCATGAAAATTTCATATAAATTTTCTAATGTGCTGGATTTTGAGGGAAAGGAAGTGATGAAGTATGGAACACAATCAAAAGGCCATTTTAAGGGATGCAAACTAAGATTCAAGAATCTGAGTTAATGTGTGATTGTTTAGGCAAAACCTTGTTAACAATCAAACTTATTAATAGTTATCTATATACACTGGGGTAGAGCCAAGATTCTATATTGGAGGGGAAAAATAAGAAATTCCTAAATTTAAGCACGAGATAGAACCAACATCAATTCAACCTTAACAAAATATAAATATGAACACAATGATGTTGCAAATCTCAAAAATCGTCTTTAATTAATTAATTATTTGCTAAATTTCTTAGCAATCGTCGTTAATTCAGCCTTAACAAAATATGAATATGAACTCAACGAGGTTAAAAATCTCAAAAATCGTTTATAATTAACTAATTATTTGTTAAATTTCTTATCAATCTTTTTTTAATGTACAAAACCAAATAGTTCATGATAAAATCAACATTCATCTTATTGTGAAGCCTAGTTGAGATCATTCAGCATCTACTACAGAAATTGATTCTTTGGAAAACATAAACGTTTTTGCTTAATTATATTTATCTTTTGCATCTATGAGCCACAAATTTAACAAAAATAATAAGGGTCATCTATACAATTGTTTTTAAAAAATAAGGGGCAAAATATTAAATAACAGTATTGTCTTTGGTCTATATCTACAATGGTTAGGACGTTTCATATTTGTTTTACTCAGTCCAAAAAGAAAATATTTGTTTTACTAGATAAGGGGACAAGTGGATCACTGACTTACTTAAATAGAAAATATTATTGAATTACTTAAACAGAAAATATTATTGAGACCACTATATAAGTTTTCAATAACTTAAGGGGACAATGTAGTAAATTCAGCATAGTTATGATTCGTAACATTGAATATGGAGGGTATATAGAAGACTACCCAAATGGAGGCAAATCTCTGCCCCCACCCCCCCCCCTGGGGGGGAACATGGCTCTGACATTGTCTGTACAATTTGCTTCGGCCACCATTCTTGTCAGTATCAGTAAGACAAAGTTTCATGATTGCAATTGACCAAGATAATGCTCAGAACCACAGACATATACAAAAACTAATGTTAAATCAAAATGATGAATCATATAATAGAACACCTAAAAACAATCTGCTTCACACTTGCAATAGAATTAGTCCCAAGGCTGTCAAAATTGAATAGGATGGCAATGTAAGCAGTGGTAAACAAAAATAAATTATTTTCATGTCCATGCAATATCAAACACCTCAATTATCATAGAAGTAATAATGTACTGAAGTTAACCATTCTTAGGGCAATATCACCTTAAAAGCTTAAATTGATTGACTTTAGACTAGCAAGCAAAAAAGATTGATAGCTGCCCACCTTCATTAAGCAACTGATAAAGTGTAACAACATCCCCGCCGGAACAGAATGCTTTGCCACTACCCTTGAATATATTCCAATCATAGTTTAGATTCTTAACCAAACTCACTTTTCAACAGTTTCAAAATATTTTATAACAAAAATGTGTTTGTTACCTTCATTATGACAAATCCAATATCTGGGTTTTCCTCCCAAGACTCATACAGTCTCTTCAACCGAGCCGCCTGTAATGAGAAACAAACTCAATTCACAACTTCCACACATGGATATGAAACAAAGAACATTGTCAACAAAAGCCACAAATAAGAAATGATAATTCTGCAGGAAAGAGAATAAACCATAGAACTAGTGAGAGCGTTTAGTGCAGTTGGTCTGTTGAGTATGGCTGCTCTTGAATTAGCTCTTCCTTCAACCAAAACCTGAAAGCACAGACATTTTAGGGGCCCAGAAAACCAAAAACCAACACACCCACACAAACACAAACAAAAACAAGGGTTTCTTCAAAGATTTAAACTTTTTTGAGAAAGTAACAGACGAAAGATAACTATTGAAGTCAAAGAAGCGCATTTAAAAAAAAAATTTAAATCGGTTTTGTCGAAAATTGACCGGCAGCATATAGAATGTGTGTGGGTGTCTGTGCACTGGCCTGTTCTTGAATATCATCGTATTGGGCATAGTTGAGTTGAGCAGAAAAGCTTCTGTGATGGAAGACAAAGCCATGTCTGTGCAAGGAACGCCTCACTGGCAGCAAGACTCTCAGTCCCTGCATTTTCAATCAATCTTTCTCTCTCTCTTGGAAGAGCTCTTTGTTGCGGCTATAGGCCTCTCTATATGTTACTGGAAGTCTTCTTTGCTCTGTGAAGCGCGCTGCTTTTGGAAACCGTATGAAACCAAACTCTTAACTAATTTTGAGAAAAAAAAAATGATAAAATTTTTGATTTAAGTATGCCCCTTTCTAATTGAGAATTTCAAATTTATAAGAAAAAAAAAACTAAAATTTAATTGATTACAAATTTAAATTTTAAAAAAATAAAATAAAATTCGATTATTGAATCTTTAAAGAAATGTTAAATCTGTCCATTAAATATTTGTATATGAATTTGAGTCTCTTTGAATAAATAAAAAATGAGTCATATGGGCATGGTTCTAATATTTGAAAAGATTTTTATGAGTTTTTCACCGAAATTTAAATTTGAGTTTTAAAAAGAGTTAAAGATTAAAGATGCTCTAACTATTCATAACTTTCTAGTGCTAATTTTTATTTTTATTTTTATTTTTTTGTTACAAAGTATAAAAATTTACGTCAATTACTCGAAACTTATTTATAAGAGAATAAGTTTGACCACTCAACTAGTTAAGGACTTTGCTGGTGCTAGTTATTGGTTAGAGTGTTAATCAACCCAGAGCTTATGGAGTTCTCAAATGTTCGGACGGAATTTGATTTTGACTTGTCAAGTTCTAGTTTGGGCAACCAGTAAGCTTGATCTTAAATGTTTGCTCAAACTTACCCAGCAAAAGTTGGCAAGCATTTGAACAAATTTTTTCAACAAAAAACTTTCAAAATATGTATAATCAACATAGGTTTAGACCCTCAAAAATTGAATTTCTCAAAAATAATTAGATAAAAGAGAGTGAGAAGTGTGTTTAATTTGGATAGTATATTTAATCTGGACTCTGGAGCTATTTAAAATTATTCATCTTTCAAATAATAATTTTTAGTAATAAAATTACAACTACTTAAGTAAATTTAAAACTAACTTTTAGCCGAATCACATTACACAAATTTGACAGACTTATGAAAGATGGGTTACAGCTAAGAACACATTTTCTTTATGAGCAATGCTATAAGAACCTTATTTGGGAACCTTACTTAGAGATTTAATGCAACCATTGAATTAGTTGTGAATTACAACGTTAGATGGAATCCACAATTAATCTAATAGTTATACATCATTAAATTCCTGAACAACGTTCTCAAATAAAGTCCAAATAATATTTTCCTTTTTTTATTTCTGCTCCTGGTTGACTCTACTTTTGTGTAGTGTAGCATTGTACGGAAGAAAAAAAACAAGGAAAGAAAAGAGGACCTATTCTGAGAGGGGGAGAGAGTCTTTTATACTGGCCTGTTACAAGTGCCAGTCTCTTTCTCAATATGATCAGGTTAAATAAGTTCAGTTTATTCTTCTGTAGCTGGTTTTTGAAAATGAGTTCTAAGGTGAAAACTTGGCAATTTAAAGCGCATGCAATCAACTCAGTCGTGTAACTATGCAGTCGGAATCTTCAGGTCTTCAATCACTTTTGTAGCTACCTCTTTCTCTTATTTTCANCTCAGTCGTGTAACTATGCAGTCGGAATCTTCAGGTCTTCAATCACTTTTGTAGCTACCTCTTTCTCTTATTTTCAACTTGTTGCCAACAAGTTCAAAAATTTCATCAACTTGAATAAGCACGAGCTTCCTCCAATGATTCAACTGGAACAGCATATGGTGAATTCCAATCAGCATCAAAGATTTCTTGAAGTTGCAAAATAATGGCAGGATTGTATGTCCCGAAGCTGACACCCGCTGTCGTATAGAAATAATCCCATATCAGATTGCTGGTTCCAATGTGGGCTCGCACATCGCTAACTGTGTATTTTCCATGGTTGACTCTAGTAAAGCCCGGATAAATATTTCCAGTGCTTGTTCCATTCAGATTAGCAGGTCCAGTCAAATTAAATCCAGGCACCATGTAGTATTTGATCTCAACTTTGCCAGAACATTTGTTGTACTTTGAGGAAGAGCATAGGGTATTGGAGTAGAGAAGAGACTTCAGATACTGATCTGTGTTGTTGATATAATGTGCCCAATATGCCACTAATATCTTGACCTCTGCATGCTTTGAGAAGATAACCTACAATTCAGAAAACTGGTTAGAAGGTCAAGATTTCAAACTCTGGATAGATATACAAAATATGCATAAATGGGCACCAAGAGGATCGGCTAGTCACTTTGTTCAACAGAACAAGATAGGTTATCTGGACTCTGGAGGTACAACANCTCTCTCTTGGAAGAGCTCTTTGTTGCGGCTATAGGCCTCTCTATATGTTACTGGAAGTCTTCTTTGCTCTGTGAAGCGCGCTGCTTTTGGAAACCGTACGAAACCAAACTCTTAACTAATTTTGAGAAAAAAAAAATGATAAAATTTTTGATTTAAGTATGCCCCTTTCTAATTGAGAAATTCAAATTTATAAGAAAAAAAAACTAAAATTTAATTGATTACAAATTTAAATTTTAAAAAAATAAAATAAAATACGATTATTGAATCTTTAAAGAAATGTTAAATCTGTCCATTAAATATTTGCATATGAATTTGAGTCTCTTCGAATAAAAAAAAAAAAAGAGTCATATGGGCATGGTTCTAATATTTGAAAAGGTTTTTACGAGTTTTTCACCGAAATTTAAATTTGAGTTTTAAAAAAAGTTAAAGATTAAAGATGCTCTAACTATTCATAACTTTCTAGTGCTAATTTTTATTTTTATTTTTATTTTTTTGTTACAAAGTATAAAAATTTACGTCAATTACTCGAAACTTATTTATAAGAGAATAAGTTTGACCACTCAACTAGTTAAGGACTTTGCTGGTGCTAGTTATTGGTTAGAGTGTTAATCAACCCAGAGCTTATGGAGTTCTCAAATGTTCGGACGGAATTTGATTTTGACTTGTCAAGTTCTAGTTTGGGCAACCAGTAAGCTTGATCTTAAATGTTTGCTCAAACTTACCCAGCAAAAGTTGGCAAGCATTTGAACAAATTTTTTCAACAAAAAACTTTCAAAATATGTATAATCAACATAGGTTTAGACCCTCAAAAATTGAATTTCTCAAAAATAATTAGATAAAAGAGAGTGAGAAGTGTGTTTAATTTGGATAGTATATTTAATCTGGACTCTGGAGCTATTTAAAATTATTCATCTTTCAAATAATAATTTTTAGTAATAAAATTACAACTACTTATGTAAATTTAAAACTAACTTTTAGCCGAATCACATTACACAAATTTGACAGACTTATGAAAGATGGGTTACAGCTAAGAACACATTTTCTTTATGAGCAATGCTATAAGAACCTTATTTGGGAACCTTACTTAGAGATTTAATGCAACCATTGAATTAGTTGTGAATTACAACGTTAGATGGAATCCACAATTAATCTAATAGTTATACATCATTAAATTCCTGAACAACGTTCTCAAATAAAGTCCAAATAATATTTTCCTTTTTTTATTTCTGCTCCTGGTTGACTCTACTTTTGTGTAGTGTAGCATTGTACGGAAGAAAAAAAACAAGGAAAGAAAAGAGGACCTATTCTGAGAGGGGGAGAGAGTCTTTTATACTGGCCTGTTACAAGTGCCAGTCTCTTTCTCAATATGATCAGGTTAAATAAGTTCAGTTTATTCTTCTGTAGCTGGTTTTTGAAAATGAGTTCTAAGGTGAAAACTTGGCAATTTAAAGCGCATGCAATCAACTCAGTCGTGTAACTATGCAGTCGGAATCTTCAGGTCTTCAATCACTTTTGTAGCTACCTCTTTCTCTTATTTTCAACTTGTTGCCAACAAGTTCAAAAATTTCATCAACTTGAATAAGCACGAGCTTCCTCCAATGATTCAACTGGAACAGCATATGGTGAATTCCAATCAGCATCAAAGATTTCTTGAAGTTGCAAAATAATGGCAGGATTGTATGTCCCGAAGCTGACACCCGCTGTCGTATAGAAATAATCCCATATCAGATTGCTGGTTCCAATGTGGGCTCGCACATCGCTAACTGTGTATTTTCCATGGTTGACTCTAGTAAAGCCCGGATAAATATTTCCAGTGCTTGTTCCATTCAGATTAGCAGGTCCAGTCAAATTAAATCCAGGCACCATGTAGTATTTGATCTCAACTTTGCCAGAACATTTGTTGTACTTTGAGGAAGAGCATAGGGTATTGGAGTAGAGAAGAGACTTCAGATACTGATCTGTGTTGTTGATATAATGTGCCCAATATGCCACTAATATCTTGACCTCTGCATGCTTTGAGAAGATAACCTACAATTCAGAAAACTGGTTAGAAGGTCAAGATTTCAAACTCTGGATAGATATACAAAATATGCATAAATGGGCACCAAGAGGATCGGCTAGTCACTTTGTTCAACAGAACAAGATAGGTTATCTGGACTCTGGAGGTACAACTAGAATAGTATGATTATCCTGTTTTCCATGGTAAAGTCTCAAATTCATTTTGTCATAGTGGTAGGTCTACAGGAACATTTTAAGAATTTTCAGCTTGTGTGGAACTTTTCTTATGTGATTGCACCATCTCTGCCTATAACCAAGAAAAAATTGGCAGTATTCCAAAGCCTAGAAATTAAGATCGTATGCAGTAATGCACTTAGTCATGAAACACAGCCTCACTAAATTTCAAATATTAAACACCAGAAAATTAGTGCCATACGACCATCTAATTAATTTATGACACTTACCAATACTATACATGCATATTCTGCAAGGTCTTGGCAATTCATGAGAACAGTAGCATCAAAAAGCATGAAGTGTCATTACTTATAATCTCACTTTTAACCAATTCATCTTCTTTTTGACTTAACTACACCGCATCAAAGATCATTAGCTGCTTCCAATTCTATTAGTCTTTCTGACATACACAGCCTACAGCTCGAATGGTTAATATGTTCTTGCATTGAGAGGGCTAAACAGACGAATTACAGGTCACAAACTATACCATGCAGTGGGTAAAGCAGTAACAATGTAATTTCCTCACACTATTTCTTCCAAACGTTAATGTTCAGATTATGCAAAGAAAAATGAATTAATGCTTGATTCACCACTGCAAATAAGGTTAAATTACTTCAGGCTGATGCTAATAGTTCGAGAGAGTGCTTCCGAATACAGGAAACATGAGTAGCTAAGTTAATTGAATGCCAAAAAGTTCCAGAATAATCAATCCTGTACTACTGACACAACATTGTTGCAGGTCCCATGTCAGATCTTACTCATGAAGGCTCTATTACGCATTATAGATATTTTGTAATTATCTCAATATTTTGCAATTATCACAACAAGCATTTTAAAATTTCATGCAATGATATTTTCTTCCATTTTTTAATTTGGCACTAAATGCAGCCCATAAGCTAAGGTCCAGCCCTATTAGAGCTGTCAGCTGGCCAACAAATTTTCACTGGCAAAAAACTCCCCAAGCTAAAGAATAGCAAGATAAAATATGGATTTGTAAGAGGCACATTATCCTTTCTTCAAAAGAATATATCATTGCTTCTTCTTCAGCGATAAAATCACACCTAATTTACCATGAGTGCCTGAGTGCATCTCCATAAACAATGAAAATAATTTAGCCCTCTAAGCTCAATATGTATTAAACAAAGGCCACTCAAGTAAATTTACCTCACGCACAGCCAGGTAAAAATATACAGGTGTGAGATACAAATGTGCGTAACTTGAAATTCGGAATTTTTAAACAAAATAAAGTGATTGAGAACTGTAAAAATGGCAAATATGTTCTGATTACTTTCGGAGTCATGTTTATATGCTTGAATATATGAGATGAAAATCACAATATAAAGAGAATGGCAAACAAATAAGAAAAATCTTGAAGCATTTGTTGAAATATTAACATAAGTTGCAATATAAGCCACATAGCTTGCCTCCTGATTTCAACAGTTCAACTCAGGGGTCAACCATCAAAATCCTTACTGCATAATGCAGAGGCCAGCCCTCAGGATGTAAAGTCAAAACAGAACAAAACCTGGTCAACAAAATAATTTCAAGAAACCGCAAGTTACCTCTGACACTGCTGAAGAAAGGGTCGACCAGTAAACTGTTTGGTTTGTGTACTGGGATTGACCAAGCCAATCCATAGTACTAATTCTAACAGACGCCCCTATTCCTACAGATTTAATTGTGTCCACCCATGCCTGTTCATCAGTCAGGTACTTGCCAAATGACAGCTGCAGTTCAGAAAGTAAATCAGAATGAAGCAGAAAACAATGACAAACGGACACCTGAGACATCATTTGGCAGAACTTAAAATTTTTGATTAAAAGTATTTAAATCAATCATGAGATAGCATTAACGACCATGCAGCCTATGTTTGAAATTGTCATGGATCATCAGAATTGTTGCGGTGTCATTGGATTAATCTCAAAAGTAAAGTCAATTATTTACAAGTAGATGTCTCGAAAATGACTTAGAACACAACATCTATACTGTTCAGTCACCAAACTTAGCATGGCTAGATTTTTGCCCCTTTTTGATCTTTTGAGCATTTAAAGAAAGCCTACAGCAGATTATTGGATCAAATAATGATAGAATCCAATCCCAACCTAGTGTTTATAATATCTTTTTACATAATCTGACTTAAATGAGTTTGCCATAATAGTTGAGAAAAGAACAAGCAGTTTCTGGACACCCTTTAGTTCTTGCAGTAAGCAAATACCTATTGGTTAAGCTAGCAAAATGTTTGGCACCGGCCACTGACCTCTGGAGGAGCAAATGAGAGATAGCCAAAATGAGGATGCAAAGAAGAATTGTTGCTTCCAGGAGTTTCAATTGCCATTTGAAACATGTCAGGGTCCGACAATACAGGATAGCCTGCTGTGTGGGGAACCTCCACGTATTGAGGAAGAGGTGATCTGTCATTACAAAATGCTGTACCATCAACAACATTTCCAAGGATGCAAGAACATCTTAACTTCATGCTTTGTTTTCTTACCAATAAGACCAGTTTAGGAGAAGTATAGGATACTCCTACAAATTAAGAGGAACAATGATAGCAGTATGTAATATAAGATTAGACAAATTAACACTAGTAGGGCTTATATTTTCAAATATTTCATCTAAGATAGCTTTCAATTCTAAAAAGTGTCTCTACATATATCAATCTCCCAGAAATTAGAAAGATAATTCACTGGAGCAACTCAGTCAACAAACCATAGAATCATAAAGATCCACTGTAACATAATGGTAGGTTAACCAGACAACTTTGCATTGTAGACAGATGACTGTGTTGCTCGATTTTCTTTTTGGTATCATTATGTAATAGTCAAATAAGCAGGTCTTCCAGCGTCCTTGTGTGTGGAAGTGACTCTAGGATCAGAGATTCCATTTAGGACACAAAATATGGTAGTCTGTGTCCATTGTCCCCTGAGTGACTATACAGCTGTTGGAGCTTTGCATTAGCCATCCACCATGTCCTTAATAATGTTTCACCAGGCAACTAAATTGTTTCAAGAAGCATCTTGCGCTTCAGGATTCTTAGATCAAAAATTAAATGGGTGCATCTTCTCACCTAATGCTTAGTAGGACATGAACACTTACCCAATGGGAATGTCCAATTAAGTGAGTAAATGAAAAGAACTAAACAAGCAATGCATGCTATGTCATATTAGCATATCATTTTAGTAATTATCAGACCAACAGTATAAAATATGTATGAATGAGTGTAGAAAATTAGTCATGCCTCATATTCTAGCATTTGGAAGTTAGATACGATGAGCCAACAATTAATTAACTAGCTTATACGTATTTATTCAATATGCATTCTGATACAATTAAGAAGAAAATAAGGCAAAGGTTGGGCATACATATCTGACAATAACAATTTTGTGCAAAAAATGCTAAAGGTTTGGTTTGTACCCAAGCTACGCATCCAACATCCTCGATTAACGGACATCAAATTGGGAAAAGATCTTCTCCTTATTAATATGCAGTAAAAAGGAAATCTTCTAGCAATGAGTACAGCCATGCTTGTAAATGTTGCCAATCACCCGCAATGTAGAGGATGCCAAAGGTTTATTCTTAACACATTACTAATGTATTTTCATCACCTAGATATGGATTTCATATAAATGTTTAGGAAAAATTCAAATTTTCAATGTTCCCCCTTAATCATATTTATTTCCTAATCCAAACTATTAAAATAAGGACACTCTCAAAAGCTCGGGTCAAGACTAAACCAGAAGTTGGTGTGTAGGCAACCAATCTAATAATGCTTCTTATGAAGATGTGTTTCAAGTCATTTGAGTAGGGACACTAGCAACCTTTTTCTGGATTTGTGGCGGTGGCAGGAGAGTATTCCAGAGCTAACAATGAGACCTAGGAGGCAGCGACCGTAGTTTACAAGTCAGGAGGTGTAGTTCCAAGGAACATACATAAAATATACCACGATACTCTTAACTTGTTCACTGTGTGGAAGCTCCCGAGATATTATATCCAAACATAGAGTTTCATATGACATTTAAAGAGACCGCTAGACAAAGTAATGAAGCTTGTCAAAGGCATCATTTCCAGAAGACGCGAATATCCTAAGTAGCAATTTGATATGAATGTTCTAATACATGGTACACTTTCATTTCAACACACTTAATTTGGATATCCATAGCTAGAATGGTACAAAAACAAGGATCTTGTGACATCCAAACATGAATTTTCTAAACAAGTTACATAAAACAAAACAAAAAGAAAATACAAAATAAAAACTTAAGTGAATTATTTTCATGTGCTATAGTGTGAATCACTTGACACTGATACAAACTGCAAGTATGCAGAAATGACCCATAAAGGATTTCCTCCAACTACTTGATCAACAGTTGACAAAAGTTCAAGAAAACCATGCGTAAGGACCATTATTTTGGACTTTCAAAGTACTCAAAGATGAAACTACATGTATGCTACAGATATGATCTATTCTTATTTCTTAAAACCCTCTCAGAAAAATCCGACCAGCATTTGACAGCTAATCTGATACATCCAAGTGAAATCTCAGGCAATAAGGAATATTCAAAGAGACCAGATATCAAAATGACATGCCGGAGTTTTTAGGTACACAAAAACAGTAGAAGCATAAGCAAGTGGTGACCCTGCATGAACAAGATTTACAGAAGGTAGCAATTGTGCACCATTCCCAGTGATTCAGATAGAATAATTTAGATTTAGATGGCTACGCACAAAACTACACATCTAAAACAGAAAAACACTTTGACCGAATATGGTCCTAAGCAGAGGTTTTCTTTGTCATACCTACACCTTTCTTTTGGATTGAGAAAATGTGACCAACACGGAACTTTTCTATTAACCTGCCACTGTTGATCCCATACAGTTTTTGTGTAAGCTGAAACATCAAGATGTGCAAGTTCCCATAGGTTGTTATAGTAGACCTCAACATTCTCTGCTATTCTTGGGCAACCAACAAGATAAATTCCAACTTCCTTCACCTGAAAACAATAATAACGAAATTGCTCAACTATCAACCAAACTCTGGGAAAACAGAATATTATTAACAGATAAATAGCTATCTAAGTATGCAACAACAAAGTTCTCCAAAATGCGTTAATACAAGAGATGTTATTATGCCCCACAAGATATTACATACAATCACACGAAAACTTACAGTAATACCCCAAATCAATAAAAGAATTAACAAAGTAATGTTTAATTACCTGATTTATCCACCGATTAAGTGTAACAAAATTAATCTATTGAATATAATGTGGATTCAAAATGGACTATAAATTAGAATGTTAATCAGGTCAAATTCTAAGTTGTGGTTACTTTTTATGTGGAAAGAAAGTAAAAGTGGGGTTATAAATTAGTAATTAATTTATATTCAAAACAAATAGATGATAAGCACCGAAGAGAAAAAGTAATCATTGCGATAATTTAGCCTTGTAAAGTGTCAGTTATGTGATTTGGTTGATTTGTATTAAATAATCACAATCCTTTAATACATTTAACTTTGAACTGACAAATTTTAGGTAATAACCTATAACGCTGCAATAAAAGGATTTGATTGGGTTATTTAGATGGGAAGTGTCGTGATATTAGTGTAAACTATTGAAAGTGGGAGGTGGTGACCTATTAGGACTAGATTACATGTGATTAAATGGAATACTATTGTTAGGTATAGAGACCACAGAAAAGTGACGACTAGAGAAGAGTTAGAAAGATAGGACTTTTGGTTTGCAGATCAATGGGTAAACCATGTTCGATTACAAAGAATATTTAGAAGGCTATTCTTGACATTGAGAACTCTATAGATACGACGTCAGTTCAAATGGTAAGTGGTTTATCTCATAATATGCATCATTGATCAATCTCTTTTCAAAGAATACTTTATTTTGTTGTCTTAATCGTGTTTTGTTCTTCCGTTCAATTGTTAATGTTTCGATATTCGTTTATATTTTCATTTGATGTATCGTTGATTATTGTGATGAAAATATTTTTGTTGGTGAAGTGTTTCAAGACCTATCGGCACATGCTACAAGCGAACTCGGTGGCATGACTATGTAGTGAGATGCGATTGTGGCCCAGAAGGCCTTTTGTGACAATGGGATGTACTGAGTGACCCCTAGCATTTTGCTGAGATGAATTGGGTATGAAGTCCTGCGTAATTCGAGGATTTGAGTATTGAGTTTTGTACGGTTTTATTGAGTGTGTTTAAGATAAATACTTTTTTTTATCATGCTTTTGTGATTGGTTGTTCGGTTATCGTTTGGCCCTTTGTTTCTGTATATTGTGTTGTAAATTGCTTATATCGGGCCTACCAAGCTCACCCCCATTTATCCCAATCAAATGCTAGCTTAGTTTGTGATGGGAATCAATAAACAAACAGATTAAGTGAGGAATTAGTAATTGTAATTATTTATTGAAATAAAAAATGTAATATTCGACATCAATTGTAATTTTAATGTTTGGAGATTTATCAATTATTGAGGATTTTTAATGCTTTGTATTGATTGGAAATAGTTCGCGCACCAGACTCCGGAGTTCGAGTTCAGGGCATGACACGTACCCTCAAATTTGGGAATTTTAGATACATTAGCTTAATGGCCAGGTGGATTTATGCATGTTTCTATATCAGCATTCTAAGGACAAACACCATCGGTTAACATGGCTTATTCATGCAACATATGAGGTGTTCGCCTGAAATATATAGTTTCATGCCTCTACAAATTTAAGCTTCTAAGGAAGTCATTGTTAATAGGAGTGCACATCGAAGAAGAATAAAAAAGTAACCCCTCATTGATGTAGGTGAAATACAAGGTAATTGATGGAGAACCATATTTTAATTTATCTCACATTTAAAAAAGGTGTCAAAATAGTATAGGAAGGAAAATGAATAGTTTTGCAAAACTAATTTTTCATACCTTGTAGGTGGTATTTTGTTGTATCTACCTTTGAGATCTCTTGTGTAGGATATCCTATTTGTTAGTAGTATGCCCAAAAATCAATCTACTAACAACATTCATGTATTAATTAAATACAAGGACGAGTTAATTTTTCATGTTATTAACTATTTTCATTTTAACATGCATTATAAAGTCAATAGAGTATAAATTAAGAAGATAGTTTATCAAGATGTTGAAAAAAAGAGACTTATACTTCTTGGCATACACTATGTTTGCTTATATTTGATATGAGGTGACTTGTCAAGTCACTAGCAGACACTGAAGCAGATGTGTGAGTGCTTGTTAAATAATAAGTACACCGAACGTGACCATTGACTAACGTAGGATTTCTCAAATTGAGTTTTACATACCTATTAATGTTAAATCATAAAATTACAATTATGCAACTGATCCTTAAACTTCAGACACCATGGTTGTCTTATGGATGGATTTCTATGTTTTACCAACACAACGTATTTATATACTAACCATGGAATTTTGATATGTATTGTTGGTTATAGTTAAACATATTTGGAAGACTTATCAGTGTACAACATAGAAACTACCACCCGTAGTAAATAAAGGGAGAATGTCTTATGATCTTCTAGGATATAACTCAAGGAGTCCTTGGCCAAGACAAAATGACAATTAGAAAAGAGTTTCTAATTGAACATTAGGAGTCATAGTCCTAAAATTAAACGAATAAGATTGAATTAGGGGTTTGACAACAATTTCATACCTTAGTAATTCAATTAGGGCATTGCGTGATAAAATGATTGAATTGCATAGCAATTGTAGACTAAATGGGTTTTTTACCTATTTCGCGCTATCCGGAGGAAATTGATCATGATATGTTGCTAAGTGTTACTCATGATTAGTAGAGGCCCGAAGAACAAAATTAATATAAATGTATTAATTGTTCTTCATAAAGGGAGAATTAGAAGAGTTATAATTCAAGCTAAATTAGAAAGAGTTCTAAATTGAGATGATACTTGTAGTTAGTATAAAATGCCTACAATCGGGTATACTTGAACCTATAGGGACACACAGTAGAATTGGTTGGAAACTAAATGATAAAGGAGAAAAAATCAATTAAGAGTTAATTGGGGTGAAAACCTAATTAAGAGTTAATTAGGGCCTTCATTACAATTAATGGTTAGTAAAAGGTTATATGCAATTATGAGAGAATTACAACTAGACCCAAACCAGGATTAGAGTCTTCGAAGGCTCCATAATACCTTCATGTAGGAGGTGGATATAATATATAATAACTCTCTTACTAGCACAAGAAAATTCACCCCGCATTCTCTCTCTCTACTAATTTATCAAAGGGTGAGATAGATCTTTAAGTTTATCGATTCATGTGGATATTCAAATTAAAGATTCAAAATTTTTTAGAAATCTTGAAGATTGTTAAAGCACAATTCAAAAGATAACTCTTAATCTTCTATATAGATCTAACGTTTCTTGGTCATATTAAACATAAACAAATCTTGGAATAAGGAATCAATTTTTAATTTTAAATTTCTCTACGTTTATTATATGATTCCTTACACTATTAACTCTAAAAGCTTCCTTTCCATTTTTACGTGTTCTATTAGAGCAGTTGACCCCTCATGAATTTAATTCATCAATTCTTCATAACTTTAATTGATGATAGCTGGTTGAGTTTGAAATCAACTAGGGAATGAAGACGAAAAGAAGAATAACATAGTTACCAAAGCCTGAGTCCTAACNAGGTGATAGCTGGTTGAGTTCGAAATCAACTAGGGAATGAAGACGAAAAGAAGAATAACATAGTTACCAAAGCCTGAGTCCTAACTATTTAGGGTCGGCTACACAAATCATATTTCTCCATTGCGCTCTATTAAAGGTCATATGTTCCGTTAGGCCATAAACTATCATTTCTTTTTTTTTTACTTTTTCATTCATAGTTATTTTAGGTGAACAAAAGAATAACATGCCGACAATAGAGGGACTAAAAACTTTGTTAGCCCTGCAAGATCAAAAGAGATCAGTCAAATAGAGAAGATGCGCCTAGGGAAATCCTTCTCTATACAAGTTCTCAGAGAAGGTTTTTGAACATAACTTTGATAGGCGAGAGGTGTAAGCACCGTGAGGTGTGAAGCGATCTCGTACTAAATGAAACGACTTTCACTTTCCATAACCAAAATGAAAGAGAGTCAACCAATTCCTGCAATTGTGGCCAGTCTCGCTACCTCTTCAGTTGCCGCCCCCAAAGTATAAGACAACACTGAATGTATATACCGTCATACAAACCATTTTTATATACACTTTTTGAAGGAGATGGGTAGGAGGAGAAAGAGGAGATAATATGCTTTATGAACTTGGTTTACAGTGAACATGTCATAGTACCTGAGTGAGAGATTTCCAGTCATTATTTGCAGATCCAATATAGACATCCCGATGATCTGATATCCAAACTTTTGCATGTACTACACCCGATCCCCACCACTGACTAAGCAATAATGTGACATTCTTCACATTTGGTCTTCCTGAAGCAAGCTTGGATGGTTCTTCAGTATAATCAGGATACACTCCAGAGTGCTGTAAAAGCCTGAATCAAATTCAATTTAAGAAGTAACAGAGCATGGGAATTTACAAATTATTTAACCTGTTTAGGTAATCTATGGCATTTCATCATGACAAGTCGCTGTTATCTAAACCATAGACTTGGACTTGGGCCGTGCTTTAACAAGCACAAAAGTTATAACCTTACAGTACAATCTCATTTGTCCTATAATGTTACAGCGAAAAAGGGAGAGATGTCTAAAAGTGTTCATTTGTATATTCCCCACCAGATGAGTCATTGGCACCATAACCACCAAAATATAAATCAAACAAAACCAAGCCTTAGGTCCCACTCATTTGGGGTCGCCTATACAAGTCCGTATTCGCCATTCATTTCAGACATGCACTATGCCCTATAAACCACCACAAATGCCACGTAGTAAATTTGTCAACAACTATTGCATACATGCAACCACCAGTACTTCAGTGTATACAGTCATTAGTCTGCTAGTTCTAGAAATAGGATTACGTGATTCTGAAAAGTGTAATCCTTTTCTATTACCAGAATCCAGTGCTCGATAAATCAGCTCATTAAAGAAGGGAAATTCAAGAGTGCTGCACCAGATATTTAATGTCTTTATTAATCCAAATGATTTTCAACAGATTTAATTGTAGCTACGTAGCCTTCTCACCATACTGTTGGAATATAATGGTTGATAAACAATTAAAAAATAAGGCATGCAACTTGAATTAACCCTAAAGTTTAATGCAATTTCTTTTATTCTTTGGTTCCATTTTTTATCACAGGTTCAACAGCTAAAAAGATACCAACCATATCACCAAAAGCTAAATGATGTGAATAATGTAAATTTTACAGTGATTATCCTCAAATCATTTCCCTTTTGAGACAAGCACATTGTCATCTAGTTAATAAGGACATGTGAAAAACTGTACTGGACTGGAAAGTAACTTCATGATTCCGATAATACATTTGCCCTCTGAATTGAAAAGTAAATTGTAAAAATTTCAAGCCATATTTCACAAAAGCATCATCACAATGAGCTGCTAAATTGCAAGTCCTGTGGCGAACTTGTGAGTTTCAATTTTGAACTGTCATGTCATTTATGTGATGTAGCATATAATCCTACAAGAAACTTTAGTGTTCGAGGTTCCCTTCAAATTGTCATAAAAGCAAAGCAAGTGACTTTTATTCATGAACATTTGCAGCTCTCGGACACAGCTTTGCTAATAAATCATGTTGCTTCTACTTTATACAAATGCATACCTGATATTAACATTGCGATCAGCAGCATTTTCTATGGCTTTATAAACACCCAAACCTTCAATAGCACCAAATCTCTGCATATCATCGTTGGAATATCCATAATCTCCAGAATGAGGATTATCAGGGTGAGCTATTAATTGCCAATATTGTGCCATTATGTCAAGATTACGGGAAGAGTTTCTGGCTAACCACCGTAAAACATCCGCTAATAATCATCACCCATGGGAATAAATACAGGAAATATGTTTTAGTAATTGAACCGGAAGAATTAGAAACGAATGTAAAATAAAGAAAAATGCTCGGGAAAAAAGATTGTGATGAAGAATAGGTAGAAAAATGGAGCTTCAAATATGATTTGTGTGTCTTTTGGCTACCAAAAATTATAAATTTATAATATTGATCCTTAACTGAGCCAGATAACTGACAGGTCTACTGAGTGGAGACTCGTGCTTTTCTGGTCACAATTGATATTTTGAACAATTTAGAGATTCAAAATTATTATCTCAATTCTAGCACACATTAATGCATGTAGTATCTGAAAACCATTATCAAAAGAAAAGAACATAAGATACATGCATACCAGTTTTGATATTGTTTTCTTGAAAAGTACTTCAATCTCTAAAATCAAAAATTAGAGAAACTTTTGCATTTACATCATTTTGCCATTGCACAAATTGTTTAAACGAATAATGCAATGAAAGCACCAATTCATACTAGTTTCAATAATGTTTTCCCGAAAAAAGATCTTCAATCTCTGAAATAAGACTTCGGCAAAAGTTTTGAGTTTGCGTCATTTTTGCTATTGCTCAAAATTTTTAGACTAATAATGGTATGAAAGCACTAAAACAGGTTTTCATTATTGATCCCCAAGAAAATTGGCTACTATAGAGATTTTCAGTAAGTTACTTCCAAAATGAGCTGCCAACTTGTCATCTGCCTCTGCCTCATTTCCTATGTTATACATATCCCGGAACATATATAAATAACTTTCAAGAACCGTTCACAGAAGTGCTCTTAAATCTTCAATTCTTTTATACTCTGTAATTTTCCCAGAAAAACATTTTGCTCTATTAAAGGCCATACGCTCTGTTAAATTACAAGCTACCATATTTTCTTAACTGGTACACCTTGACTCCCTCACTATGCGTCAATGTTTGGTCTGTCTTAGAGATTTTGCTTTCCAAGTCCTAAATGTTAGTTTCATCTATGGCACAAAAAAAAAAAAAAAAAAAAAGAAGAAGAATACTTCAGGTATGTTATTGTACTTATAGTTATCGGAACTCCAAACTATGCGGGAACAAGTTGAATAAAACCTATAAACACACTCATGCACGAACACAATTTCTTTATTTTATAGGTGAAATTGTTTTATTTCCAAGAATTTAAAGCCTACTACGAGAACAACTATAAGCCAATTAGGGATAAGACGTGGGTGTCGAGTACGGTACTGAAATATATCAAAGATCAAAATTCAACCTTTTGAGTCAACCGAAAAAATTGTTAGGATCATATTCTTGATCTTAAAATGCCAAATATCAATCCCAACAACCCTCTTTTGCCAAGGGCAATGATTCTGATGCTGGTACTGATTAAGTGGGAAATGCCAAAACTTAGGAACACCTAGATTAACGAGAACTACACGAGCAAGCTGGGCAATGACACTTTTCTTCTAATGTATACTGTAATTTTGAAGAAATCAGAAGAATAGTTACCCGAGGAAAGAACACCGGGGACGAGAGAGAGGTGGGGCATGTCGGTTGGGATTGATTGCACCAGCCAAGCTTTGCATTGACTACGACTATGATCATCATCTGTCGAAGTGTGGGAGTGAGCTTTTATTAGAGAGATGTTATTGTTGGTAACGATTAAGAGGAGGGAGATGATGAGAGAGAGTGTGTCCATCGTTGGTGTCATCCTGTAGAATTTGATTTCATAAGAACTGAGCACTGTGTGTGTGTGTGTGTGTGTGAAAAAGCAGAATTCCGAACGTTGAATTTGGATTTTGGAACCTTGTGGCAGGTTTCGTTGACTATTTCCCAATGCATGGGCTGTTTGTGGAGTAATGGGCTTGAAGGGTTTGGAATGTTGCATGCATTTATTGGGGCAAATTTGAAGGAAATAAACCTGTTTGTGCGAACGAAGCGGGAGAGGTCAACAGTAATGGTCCGGTTGATTGCAAGGATAGAAATGAATGGAAAAAAATTTTCATCCATAGAGTGAAAGAATATATTTTATCTCATTTGTGTTTAATATGATGGATAAAAAATTGAATGGATGCATTTTTCTTTATTTGGTATTAGATAAAAAAATAAATGAAAAGAAAAATTATATACCCCAAATTTACTATTATACCCTCAAATCTAATGGGTGAATTTTTCTACAATAATTATCGTAGAAGATTTGGTCACCTCGTATTTATTCGTCCTTTTTTGAGAGAATTATATTTAAACCCCTCGAGATTTATCACTTAATCACTCAAACTGCTTGACATTTAAAATATTATATACATACTCTTTAAAATTTGTACGACCATAACACTTAGACCTTTCCTATAACTATATCAGTTAATAAATTATGTTTAGACCCCCATAAAAATTTATAAATATATAATACTTAGACCCTTTAAGTTTAAAATATTATACTTAGACAAAAAGTATTTCAATCATATATACAATATCAAATATTTTAAATTTTACAACCAAAATTCATGTTCTATTGTATCATTTATTAAAATAAAATCAAAAATAAAATTTACTCATAAAGAAATTCTTTATTTAATTATTTTATATGTATCTAACTAGAAATTATATGTATTTTTTTTCATTATGTACATTTAATTATTAAATCTTCCATTACATATAATAAGTTAAGTTTTAATTATATTATGTGGTAAATACTAAAAATTATATAATTAAAAAAATTAGACCAAAACGATTTCAATTATGGAACTATTAGGAACCAAAAGAAAAAAAGAAAAAAAAAAGGGGGAGGGAAATAAATTTTTGAGTCTTATTCCAAGGCCAAAGCCTCACATATTCTTAGCAAAAAAAAAAAAGATAGACTCTCAGACATCGATGATGGAGTTTCTGCGATGATGGGGGGTTTGGGAGAGAGAGAGCTGGAGGTCTGGGCGTCCATGCTGGTCGCTAAAGGCTTGCTGGGAGGGATTTGATTTGAGTCTCTGCCTCATCTGCAAGGCTAGGATTTCTGTGATGATAAAGAAGAAGAAGAAAGAGGGGGCTTCTTTGATGATGGTGGTTCGCTGATGGTAGTTCGATAGTGGTTCTACTGAAACAGAGAGTGGTGCGTAAAATAGTTAATTCACAACATTTACCTTCCTCCATTTTCCATCCTCCCTATTTTTTCTCCAACCAAACAGGGGGTAAGGTACATCTCGGAAATAAATTGAGAACGTGGAGAGCTCAATTCGAGCAATAAAATTTTTAATACGGGTTCCATATATTCTTAAATTCAATTTAAACACCATAACCCAAACATTATTCACACTTAAATTCTTACACTCGGGGTTACTTTTATCAAGTTGAAATTTAAATTCAATCGCAAAGTTAACTTTTGGGTTAAATTTTGAAGAAAATTATACTCAAATTTCCTGAGGTTTGCACTTAATCATGTGGGCCTCCTCTGGTATGAAAAATAACACTGAGAGAACAGGAACTTGATATTTTGCTAAAGATATAAATTTACATAAATGACATTTGTTGCCATATCACATTCGTTTGTCAACTCATATGAAGAGAACATTTTCGTTTCCTTTCATTTGATCTCATCTCTATTAGAGAACAGTGTTTTTTGCAGTTCCATTTTCTCAAGCATCAGAGGAGGTTTACTCTTAGAAGATTTGTAATACCCTAAAATTCATCATAAAAGGCATTACTATCTATATAATATTTAATCATGAGAACATCTAATAAAATCATAAACCAATAGAAAATTATTCATGATTCATAGCATCTAAAGTATAGTCCAAAAACCAATATGTCAAATATAGACACTTACATACAAAATCTGAATAAAATATCATTCTCAAATACTAACTAACTACTGAGTGTTGAATGCATTATTCAACTTGACATTTGCCTCAAGGTCCACATCCCCATCAACTTGAGCTTCCCAATTTACCTACTCATCCAAACCAAGCTCCTCTATTTCGCAATCTAAAAAAGATGTTGTTTGTAGAGGGATGAGCACTAAACTCTGGTAACAAAATCCTCCCGAGCTCGAACAAGATTTCGAAAGCATGTAAAAAGATTAGTCTCATTTTAAAAAATATTATATACAACTTTTGAAATGAAAATAGTGACAATTCATCAGATCTCAACTTTACATAATAGCAATAAATTAAGTGAAGTAAAACTAACTTTTAAATAACAAACCATTACCAACACTGTATCTCAAGTATGTAGAAGATTTAACATGAATATACATATTAAGAATATCTTGGCACACACCCCCTAATCCTTGCAAGAATACACAACTTTAGGAAGAGAGTACATCAACACATCAACAATGACGAATCTAACCCAGAAATAGTATATTACCTCTCAACCTTGATACCCATGAGCGAATAGTGGTTTGGTTCTCGTAAAAAACGAACCCCACTATGAGTGATAGAGAATTTTCAAACCTACTCAGAACAAAAAACTCATCTACCCACTTTATGATACCCGGCCAACGGTCACCCATGTACATCAAACCATCCACAAAAGAGATATTATACCAAATCAATTCACCAAAACATAGGTAAACCAAGAACCATAATTCCACAAGTATTTTTTCAATGGAACAACTCAAGAAAATATGTAAGAGATCATTAAGAAATATAATTTTATTGTTCAAACCAAACACTAAAATTTTTTCATCAAGAACAATGGAATATTAAGGGTAAAACCTATATTTCTTGAAGACTAGAGTTTTGATAACAAGAACGAGAGTTTTTATGTCTATCAAACAATAAGCTCATTCAAGATATAATACAATTTGTAAGAAAACCAAGAAACAATGATTTCATAACAAATACATACGATTTAGAATCAAAACATACATATATATTAACCCTAACTTCAATGAACAAGTTTTGGAATAAACTCCTACCTTAATTCCTGTAGACTTTGATCCTTATGCATTTTGATGTGATTTAACACATTACTCTATCAAAAGATCTCCCTCTTTCTTCTCTCCAACTCC